GGAGTGCAGTGGTGCGATCTCGGCTCACTGCAACCTCTGCCTCCTGGGTTCAAGTGATTCTCCTGCCTCAGCCTCCCAAGTAGCTGGGATTACAGGTACCCATCACCACACCTGGCTAATCCACCTGCCTTGGTCTCCCAAAGTGCTGGGATTACAGGTGTGAGCCACCACGCCTGGCCAAAAAATATATGTTTGTAGAATAAAATAAAGAATACAAATGTAAGTTTTAAAATGACCAATAATCTTCCCATCTAGAAATAATAAATTGCTAATATTTTGGTGTATCTGCTTCCAGAAAGTTCTTTATGCCCAAGCTGAATTTGCTATATGAACTGACACCTGGGGCAGGCCTCTGCCAGTTAGTTGCTGAGTAAGACATAATCACAATGCAGACAAAAACCAGTAGGGCTAAAGATATTAACAAAAATAGCATCCTCAAAACTGTGGGAAAACTCAAGAATAGGCATAAAATCATAAAGCTTACAGGCCTTTAGAGCTACTCATGTAATCTTTTACTCTATGGACAGGACCCTGAGAGGGCATGCTGATTAGCTGAAAAAGTAGGCAGAGTCAGAACTAGAATCCAGAAAACAAAGCTTTTGGCCTTGGCTTCCTGCTGTCATGATACTTTTCACTTATTTTTTATTTTTTTGAGACAGGGTCTCACTCTGTCATCCAAGCTAGAGTGGAATGGCATGTTCATGGCTCACTGCAGCCCTGACCTCCTGGGCTCAAGTGATCCTCCCAGCTCAACTCCACCAAGTAGCTGGGACTACAGGCATGCACCATTGTGCCCAGCTAATTTTCGTATTTTTTGCAGAGATGGGGTCTTGCCATATGGGTCAGGCTGGTCCTGAACTCCCGGACTCAATCAATCTGCCTGCCTTGGCCTCCCAAAGTGCTGGGGTTACAGACATGAGCCACCATACCCAGCCTCATAATACTTTTAATGGACTCTGTTATATACTTTACTGGATTTCATGACTGACAAAGGTTGGCTTTAAAATAAACATTTTTGGTATGAAATGGGAATAACAACACAAGGTCAGCAGTTCCTTTTTAACTCACCCAAATCATCTTTGGTAAAGATCAAGTCCTCTACTTGTTTAGTCAGAGAATTTTAGAATAGCCAAAAGTCGTAGACATCGTATTAGTTTATTCCCCCATTCTACAGATGAGAAAACAGGTGCCAAAGAGGATGCTCAGCTAGTTGGGAGCAGATCCCATCTCCTGACTCCAGGGTTATTTATTTATTTATTTATGTTTGAGACGGAGTCTCCCTCTGTTGCCCAGGCTGGAGTGCAGTGGTGCAATACCTCCACCTCCCGGGTCCATGCAATTCTCCTCTCAGCCTCCTGAGTAGCTGGGACTACAGGCACAAGCCACCATGCCTGGCTAATTTTTGTATTTTCAATAGAGACAGTGATGGATGCAGCTGGAAACCATCATTCTCAGCAAACTATCGCAAGAACAGAAAACCAAACACCGCATGTTCTCACTCATAGGTGGGAACTGAACAATGAGATCACTTGGACTTGGGAAGAGTAACATCACACACCGGGGCCTATCATGGGGAGGGGGAGGGATTGCATTGGGAGTCATACCTGATGTAAATGACGAGTTGATGGGTGCTGACGAGTTGATGGGTGCAGCACACCAACATGGCACAAGTATACATATGTAACAAACCTGTACGTTATGCACATGTACCCTAGAACTTAAAGTATAATAATAATAATTAAAAAAAAAATAGAGACAGTGTTTCACTATATTGGTAACGCTGGTTTCGAACTCCTGACCTCAGGTGATCTGCCCGCCTCAGCCTCCCAAAGTGCTGGGATTACACGTAGGCTTGAGCCACCGTGCTCAGTCCTGACTCCAAGGTTCTAAGAATAGTATAGAATGTAGTACTCATAATCATCAAAAGACACCTCCCAAAAGATCTTACAGTCAGGACTGATTGATGCCCACTTACTCTGCCTTCTGTTGAACTATTTCAATCGTAATAATGAATCCAGGCAGTGGTCATCAATGACTGCCAACTTCACGAAAAGAGGTACAATTGGAAATTATGTGCCTGATAATCGATGTATAAATAGTTTTGCTGCTTTCAGCTCTCAGCTCGGAGGAGGCCAAGGTGCAACTTTCTTCGGCTGTCCTGAACCCGGGTTCATCCGACACCAGCCACCTCCACTATGCTGCCGAAGTTTGGCCCCAAGGAGATCAAAGTCGCGTACCTGAGGTGCACCGGGGGTGAAGTCGGTGCCATGTCTGCACTGGTACCCAAGATCGGCCCCCTGGGTCTGTCTCCAAAAAAGGGTGGTGATGACATTGCCAAGGCAACAGGTGACTAGAAGGGCTTGAGGATTACAGTGAAACTGACCATTCAGAACAGACAGGCCCAGATTGAGGTGGTGCCTTCTGCCTCTGCTCTGATCATCAAAGCCCTCAAGGAACCAGCAAGCGACAGAAAGAAACAGAAAAACATTAAACACAGTGGGAATATCACTTTTGATGAGATCGTCAACACTGCTCAACAGATGTGGCACCGATCTTTAGACAGAGAACTCTCTGGAACCATTAAAGAGCTCCTGGGGACTGCCCAGTCTCTGGGCTGTAATGTTGATGGCCGCCACCCTCATGAAATCATAGATGACATCAACAGTGGTGCTGTGGAATGCCCAGCTAGTTAAGAAGCACAAAGGAAAATATTTCCATAAAGGATCATTTGACAACTGGTGGAAAAAAAAGAAATAGTTTTGCCATAAAAAAATCAAACCTAAATCACAATAAAGAACTACCTATCAACTAGCTAGGGAATAGAAGAACATGTTAATGACTTCCAAGAATACAATCAGAAAAATACAGAATATGGGAAATATACAAGTAATTTCATTTCTTCAACAAATATATACCAAAAAAAAAAAAAATGAGATTGAAGGAAATCTATATATTACAAGAGACCTCAGAGACAAATAAATTGATTGTCGTGTATCAGAATTATTTGTCCTGATTTGAACAAACTGAAAAAAAGAGTATTATGGGACAGTTATATTAATACTGACCTTACAGAAATAAAGAGAATCAAAAAAGAATACTATGAATAGCTAAATGCCAACAAAATACATAACTTACATAAAATGGACAAGTTCCTAGAATAACATAAACTACTGAAATGGACTTGAGAAGAAATAGAAAGTCTGAATAGACTTATAATAAAGAGACTGAATTATTAAGAAAGAAAAACTACCCACAACAAAAAGCCCAGGCCCAAATGGCTTCACTGGTAAAGTCTACCAAACATTTAAAAAATAATCGATGTCTGGGCGTGGTGGCTCATGCCTATAATCCCAGCACTTTGGGAGGCTGAGGCTGGCGGATCATGAGGTCAGGAGTTCAAGACCAGCCCCTGCCCAACATGGTGAAACCCTGTCTCTACTAAAAATACAAAAAAACAAAAATTAGCTGGGCTTGGTGGCGGGTGCCTGTAATCTCAGCTACTCAGGAGGCTGAGGCAGGGGAATCACTTGAACCCAGGAGGCAGAGGCTGCAGTGAACCATGATCGCAACACTGCACTCCAGCCCGGGTGACAGAGCAAGACCCTGTCTCAAAAACAAAGAAAGAAACAAACAAAAAAACACAGAATGCAGGCTGTGCATGGTGGCTCACACCTGTAATCTCAGCACTTTGGGAGGCCGAGTGGGTGAATCACTGGAGGCCAGGAGTTCGAGACTAGTCTGGCCAACATAACGAAATGCTGTCTCCACTTAAAATAAAAAAAGTAACTAGGCACAGTAGCTCACATCTGTAATCCCAGCACTTTGGGAGGCCAAGGTGGGTGGATCACGAGGTCAGGAGTTCGAGACCAGCCTGCCCAATATGGTGAAACCCCATCTGTACTAAAAATACAAAAATTAGTCGGGTGTGGTGACACACGCCTGTAATCCCAGCTACTCAGGAGGCTGAGGCAGGAGAATTGCTCGAACCTGGGAGGTGAAGGTTGTAGTGAGCCAAGATCACACCATTGCACTCCAGCCTGGGAGCCTGAGCGATACAGTGAGACTCCATCTCAAAAAATAAATAAATAAATAAAATACAAAAATTAGCTGAGTGTCACGGTGCACACCTATAGTCCCAGCTACTCGGCATGCTGAGGCATGAGAATCGCTTGAACTCAGGAGGTGGTTGCAGTGAGCCGAGATGGTGCCACTGCACTCTAGCCTGGGTGACAGAGTGAGACTCTGTCTCAAAAAAGAAAAGTAATAATAATGAAAAGAAAACTTCACAAATTCTTGAAAAAATAGATGAGGAGGGAGCACTTCCCAACTCATTTTATGTGGCCAGTATTATTCTGATACCAAAAATCACACATCACAAGAAAATTAGAGACAAATATCGCTTATTTACTTATTTATTTTCTGAGACAGTGTCTCACTCTGCTGCCCAGGCTGGAATGCAGTGGTGCAGTTTTGGCACACTGCAGCCTTGACCTCCAGGGCTCAAGTGACCCTTCCGCCTCAGCCTCCCAAGTAGCTGGAACTACAGGCACACATCATCATGCCCAGCTACCGTTTGTATTTTTTGTAGAGACAGGGTTTCAACGTGTTGCCTGGGCTTGTCTCCAATTCCTGAGCTCAAGCAATCCGCCCGCCTTGGCCTCCCAAAGTGCTGGGATTACAGGGGTTCATCACCATGCCCTGCCTCAATAGCTCTTATTAACAAAGATGCAAAAATCTTCAACAAAATACTAGCAAATCAATTTCAGTGACATATGAAAAGGATTGTACATCATAACCAAGTGAGATTTGCTCTGGGAATTCCTACACGCAATGTAATGTCCCATATTAATACAGAATAAAAAACACATGATCTACTGGGTGCAGTGGTTCACACCTGTAGTCCGAACTCTTTGGGAGGCCCAGGTGAGAGGATCACTTGAGCCCAGTAGTTTGAGATCAGTCTGAGTGACATGGCTAAATCCCGTCTCTACAAAAAAATTAAAAAAAAATTAGCTAGGCATGGTGGCACATGTCTGCAGTCCTAGCTACTTGGAAGGCTGAGGTGGGAGGATCGCTTGAGCCTGCAAGGCGGAGGCTGTGGTGAGCCAATATTGTGCCAGCCTGCGCACACACCAGCCTGGGCAACAGAGCGAGACCTGTCTCAGAAAAAAAAAAAAAAAAAAAAAAAAGAAAGAAATGCAAATTGTCCAGGCATGGTGGCTCAGGCCTGTAATCTCAGCACTTTGGGAGGCCAAGGCAGGGGTTCGCTTGAGCTGACTTCAAGACAAGTCTGGGCAACATGGTGAAATCCTGTCTCTACAGAAAATACAAAAATTACCCAGGTGTGGTGGTGCACGTTTGTTGTCTCAGCTACTGAGGAGGCTGCGACGGGAGGTTGAAGCTGTGGTGAGCTGTAATTGTGCTACTGCATGCCAGCCTGGGCGACAAAGTGAGACCCTGTCTCTCACACACACAAACAAAGCAAATCAAAATCACAAACACCACTTCACACTCAGTAAGACAGGTATAATAAAAAAAGACAGATAATAACAAGTGTTGGTGAGGATGAGGATGTGGAGAAATTGAAACCCTCATACACTGCTGATGGGAATGTAAAATGGAGGCTTCACTTTGGAAAACAGTCTGGCCATTTCTCAAAAGGTTAAATACATGGTTACCACGTGATCCAGCAATTCTACTTCTACATCTATGTCCAAGAAAACTGGAAACACATGTCCACACAAAATCTTATAATAGAATGCTGATAATATCATTCAAAATAGTCCAAAAATGGAAACAATTCAATGTCTGTCAACTGATAAGTGGACAAACAAAATGTGGTATATATACTTAGAATGGAATTTTATTTCACAATAGAAAGTAATGAAGTACAACATGGATGAACCTTCAAAAAAATGCTAAGTGAAAAAAGCCAGTGCAAATGTATGATTCCATTCATATGAAATATCCAGAACAGGCAAATTTATAGAGACAAAAATGTAGATTAGCAGTTGCCTAGGATGGGTGGGTTAGGGGGAAATGGAGAGTGCCCACTCATAACAGTAGAGTTTTTCTTTATTTAAGATTTTAGGACTTTTTTTTCCTTTTCTTTTAGTACCATTCTTTAAAGAAAAAAAAAAAACTTTATATTTTAGAGTAGTTTTGGTTTTACAGCAAAATTGAGCAGAAGATGCAGAGATTTCTCATATACCCTGCTGTTTCCGCACATGCATACTCACTCCATTATCAACATCCCTGGCCAGAGCGGTTACAATTAAAGAACCTACACTGACACAACATTGTCACCCTAAGTCCATAGTAATGTTTCTTTTTGGGGTGATGAAAATGTTCTAAAACAAATTGTGGTTGTGGTTGCACAACTTTTTTTTTTTTTTTACTTTTTGAGACAGGGTCTCACTTTGCTGCCCAGGCTGGAATGCAGTGGCACTCACTGCAATCTCTGCCTCCTGGGCTCTAGTAATCCTCCCACCTCAGCCTCCCAAGTAGCTGGGACTACAGGTGCATGACACCACGCCTAGCTAATTTTTGTAGAGAAGTGGTTTTGCATGTTGCGTAGGCTTATCTTGAACTCCTTGGCTCAAATGATCCTTTTGTCTCGGCTTCCCAATGTGCTGGAATTACAGGCATGTCCTACCGCGCCCAGCCTGCACAATTCTTTGAATGTACTAAAGTTGTTGAATTGTATACTTTAAATGAGTGCATAGTATATATGAATTATATCTCAATAAGCTGGTAGCAAAAAATGTTATGAGACAGTTGGGTTAATTTGAAGAACAACAGGGTAGTTGATATAAAGGAACGATAGCGGTCTGAAGTTATATTTATTAAAAAAAGAATTCTTTTAGAAATACTAAAAAATTTGTGAATTTTAAAACCACTGTCTTGACCCCTTGCAGTTATCACTTTTCTGCCCCCTATCCTTACAACCAACTCCGTCCCCAAATTATCTATTCTCCCTCTCTCCAATTCCGTTCCCACCACTCTATTCTAAAGCCATTCCCATCAGGCTTTAGAATACTTACTACTTTACTATCATAAGCAGTGGCCAGTTAGAGCCCAGCAATTGACATGGTTGTCTTTCCTTGAGCCATTCTCCCCACCCAGTTCAACTGGGATTCTTTTCCTGGTTTCCTCTGATTTCAGTGCCTAAGATACCTTTCTCAAACTTCTGTCCCCACTTTATATGTAGATTATTTCGTGGCTTCCAATACTCTCTACATGCTGTCTCCCAAATTTACATCTCCAGTCTGGACCTTTCTAAATTCCAGACTCCTACATATCTAACTCTCTTCTCGATATTTTCATGTGGTATTCTAACAGGCATCTCAAATTTACGTTCCAAAACAGAATTTTTATTTGTCTTTTTGGGACGGGGTCTCATTCTGTCTCCCAGGCTGGAGTGCGGTGGTGCTATTTTGGCTCACTGCAACCTCCACCTCCAGGGCTCAAGTGATCCTCCCAAGCAGCTGAGACTATGGGCATCTGCCACCATGCCTGGCTAATTTTTGTAGAGACGGGGTTTTACCATGTTACCCAGGCTGGTTTTGAACTCCTGAGCTCAAGCGATCTGCCTGCCTTGGCCTCCCAAAGTGCTGGGATTACAGGTATGAGCCACCGCGCCTGGCCCCAAATGGAATTTATCTCTTCCCATCCCCAACTTGCTCCTCCATCTTTCCCATTTCATTTAATGGCAACTCCATTCTTCAAAATGCTCAGGCCAAAAATCGTAGTCACCTTGGACTCCCTTCATTTTCTCACATCCTATATAAATTGTCATCAAATTCTGTGTGCCACCCTGAATATATCCAGATACCTTATCCCTCCACTGCTTGCACCTTTTCTATGCCACTTATCTCTCACCTAGAGTATTACAATAGCTTCGTAAGTGGTCCCCCTTGCTCCTCAATAATCTAGTGTCAAAATAGAAGTCAATATGATTCTTTAAATATGTAAGTAGAATTTCATTACTTTTCTACTAACGATGGCTTCCCATCTCCCTCAGAAAAAGCCAAAGAAGTCCTTAAAATGGCCTGTAAGTGCGTACCCAATTTGAATTCCTCTTACCTCTCTGACTTCATTTCCTCTTTTACCCTCCTGTAGTCGGACTGCTTTCTGTTCTTCGAATGTAGTAGGCATCTTTTTGCCTCAATGATTTCCACACTTGTTATTCTACCCGGAATGTTCCCTGTCCACCCAAGGCACATTTCTTGTTCCTTTGCCTCCTTTAGATCTTTGTACAGTTTGCCTTCTCAGTGGGGCTCCTCTGCCTCTGGGATAAACAAAAACCTCCCTCCCTACTCTCGGCTCACCCTATTCCCCTCTCACTGCTTCACTCTTTCCTGCCAACACTTATTCTTAGTATATACTTTACTTATTAATATTTTTAGTCTCTGCTATGAGGACAGGATTTTTCCCTGCTTTGCTAAGTGTTTGGCACAGGGTTGGCACGCAGTATTTTTGAGTGTATGAATGCTATTTATAATGCACTATATTCTCTGCCTCTTTGTTTAACTATCACTAGCTCCATGGGAGTCTGGATATGCATCCCTGAGGAAGCACAGACTGACTAAATAGAAAAATTGTCCACTCACTCTGACTACCGTTATCTATCTCTTTAAGGGAGACGAAAGCATAGCAGCAATCCTGGAGGCTCAGGTTCCAGTCAAAGCTTTGAGACCAATTAGGCATGTGACATTGAGAAGATAATTTTTCCTCTCTAGCCCTTAATTTCCTCATCCGCCAAAAGGAGATCATTTCCTTAAAAGACCTCACAGTATTTTTGAGAATATAAAATGAAAGATGAAATGTTGAGTAGGGAAGGATATGTCTTATTAATAAATTTCTCTACTACATACAAAGATATATTTACCTGGCATTTTATATTTGTTAAAGGTAATAAACCTAAAAGTAAACCCCAGGGTTCTTTTAGGAATCTTGCAAAATGTACTTCTGTTGTGCTGTGCCCTTATACTTACCACTAATGTAACAGCAAAGACTCTGATGTCAGCCTATTCTTTCTCCTGAGAAAAGTCACTCTTACATGTCATTTTTTTCTTTCAGTATCCTCATCCAAACCAATGAATAGTCAGTGCCTGCTGGGGCCTGGCTCCAATGGCAGTTTTCTTTCCTATTCTCTTGTATGCATGTGGTTGGTGAGCCTTTTCTCAGCCCATCTGTAACACAGAACCTTGATTTTCTTGTCTGTAAATTGGGGTGCATAACAACTGGCTCGCATTTATTTTAATGGATTCATGGACCCATCGATAATTTAAATAAAGCAGTAGTACAATGCCTGGCACATCTAGAGGCCTCCATAAATGCTTTATAGAAATGGAGTATGTGTTCAGCTTCCACTGCCAGAGTTGCTTGCTAAAACAGATCTTTCTAGCCGGGCGTGGTGGCTCATGCCTGTAATCCCAGCACTTTGGGAGGCTGGATCACGAGGTCAAGAAATCGAGACCATCCTGGCCAATATGGTGAAACCCCAACACTTTGGGAGGCCGAGGTGGGTGGATCACTTGAGGTCAGGAGTTTGAGACCAGCCTGGCCAACATGGTGAAACCCCATCTCTACTAAAAATACAACAATTAGCTGGGCCTGGTGGCGCGTGCCTGTAGTCCCAGCTACTCAGGAGACTGAGGCAAGAGAATCGCTCGAACCCAGGACGCAGAGGTTGCAGTGAGCTGAGATCGCACCACTGCACTCCAGCCTAGGCAATAGATGGAGACTAAGTCTTGGGAAAAAACCAAACAAACAAACTCAAAACAGTTCATCATGTTACTATGCCTAGTCAAGGACCTCAAACAATATAAAGTATGAATTTCTATACTTGGTTTCAAATCTCCCACATTCTATTAATATTATTAATTTTTGAGACGGAGTCTCACTGTCGCCCAGGTTGAAGTGCGGTGGCAAGATTTTGGTTTGCCGCAATGTCCACCTCCTGAGTTCAAGCAATTCTCCTGCCTTAGCCTCCTGAGTAGCTGGGTTTACAGGTGTGTGTCACCACACCTGGCTAATTTTTGTATTTTTAGTAGAGAAGAGGTTTCACCATGTTGGCCAGGCTGGTCTCAAACTCCTGACCTCAAGTGATCCACCAGCCTCGGCCTCCCAAAGTGTTGGGATTATAGGCATGAGCCACTGTGTCTGGCCCCACAATCTATTAAAATCAGGGCTTTTCTTTTTTTTGTTTAAGACTAGTCAAGTGCAGTGGTGGGAAGTGGAGCACAAGTCGAATAAGGAGTTTGGTCTGTAACTGACAGTGAACAATCACGATAACTTACTATCTCTGTATCAGCCTAAAAGGATCTTGAAGAGTTATTTGTACATTCATATCAAAGCAGTATTATTCACAATAGCCAAAAGGTGGAAATAACACAGACGGTATATACGTACAATGAAATACTATTTAGTCTTAAAAGGGAAGGAAATTCTGACACATCCTACAACATGGATAAACCACAATGAGATTATGCTATGTGAAATATGACAGTCACAAAAAGACAAATACTGTATGACACCACTTACATGAGATACCTAAAGTAGTCAAATTCATACAGACAGAACTAGAATGGTGGTTACCAAGGCTGGCTGGAAAATGAGGAATGAGAAATTGTTTAATGGGTGCGGGCTTTGTTTTGCAAGATGGAAAGAATTCTGGGGACTGGCCGCACAAGGTAAATGTACTTAATACTAACGAATTATTCACTCAAAAATGGCTAAGATGATAAAGTTTGTTGTGTCGATAAAAAAATTTAAAAATCTATTTCATCTTTCTCATGAAATCTTACTTTTTATTTTTCTCTCGTTTCTATTTTTCCCATTTCAGTTAGACTGATCTCTTCATTGTACTTCCAGTATGCCTCTTGAGCCTTTGCACCACGGTGTTTCTTCTCTGGAATGGTCTTTCATTATCACCCATCCATTTTCAAAAGGTTGCATGTGCTTTCGTCCCAAAGACATTACTTTATAGATCCAACCAGGAGTCGCATCCTCCATGTCATCCCTACTCTTTGAAACCACAGACCTCTCCCTTTTCTACACTACACAGAAGGGCCTACACATGGCTTTCATGCTTTAGCTTAGCCTCTCCGACCATACCTCTTAAGACCCTGAGGATCAGGGGGCGTTCTCTCACAGTTCTCCTGCACTTCTCTCCCATCCCAACACATACACATGATACTAGCGAGGAGCTCCGCACACAAGCTCCTCCAGTAAAAACGACGCACTAGGCAGTGCATCTCAACACATCAAATTACCGGCGCGCACAGGAGCCTGATGAGGCAAAACTGTGGGTCCTTCGGGATCCTTGAAAGCAGCACTATAATTTGCAGTTTTCTACCCTCCAAAACACTTTCCAGGCCGGATGTGGTGGCTCACTCCTGCAGTCCCAGCACTTTCGAAGACCCAAGCAGGCGGGTCACTTGAGGTCAGGAGTTTGAGACAAGGCTGGGAAACATGGTGAAACCCATCTCTACAAAAAAATACAAAAAGTACTTAGGAGTAGCGGTGCGCGCCTGTAATTCCAGCTACTCGGGAGGCTAAGGCAGGAGGATCACGTGAGCCTGGGAGGTCGAGGCTGCAGTGAGCCGTGATCGCGCCCAATGCACTCCATCCAGCCTGGGCGACGGCGGTGAGATCCTGTCTCAAAAGAATAAAAGCGACCACTTTCCTACTTATTATCCCAGAGAAACGCACGCGACGGAGGAGCGAAGGAGCGTTTATTTGTGGAGGCGCTCAAGTAAGAAACCCTGCTCGCAGGCCGACTCAAGGCTCTCCGAAGCCGTCTCAGGGCTGTCTCCCCTCCCCAAAAGGTAAAGAACCGTTACAAAGTTTACTTCCGGCACAAGCGTCCGCGCCTGCTCGGAAAAGGGAGAGTGGACGCACAGCTCTGTTACGGAAAGTCGCAGGGCACAATTTCCTTCGTTGCAGTCGCCTTGTAGGCGGCCGCACCAACCCAGAAGTGAAAGACCCTTTCCTTCGAGTATCAGACCCCCGACCAAAGGAAGTTCCACTTGGACGACTTTTACCCAGGGCTTCCCGACTTCTCTTTAGCTCTTCCTATCACGCTCCCTGCTTGCTGGTGCATTGTTGCTGTGGCCACTTAGTTCCGACCTTCCTTGTGTAACTCGAGTTTTGTCGCAACTTTCCAAGGGGCCTAACTACACTGGGGGCACCCTTTCCTGGAAAACAAACAAACAAACAAACAAAAAACCAAAACCTTTACCCTACGGGTACCCATCAGGGTCAACCAACGTTCTCCGTGAGGGGCAAAGCTCCCGGGGACTTTACGCCCGCGAAGCCTAACACGGCCAGGCCGGCGCGTGCGCGGGGCGTTACCATAGAGAGGCAACCGCCTCTCTGGTATCGGTTTACGCTCTCTATGGTGCAGCCGGGTCGGTGGCGGTAAGAAGAAAAAGGGGGACCGCACTGCGCAGGCGCCCTCGGCGTCTCTCTCGCTCTCTCGGTCTTTTTTTTTTTTTTTCCTTTTTTTTTTTTTTTAATCCCCGCACCAAGCGCTTAACCTCATTGGGGTGGAGGAGAAGGCGGCGGCTCTCTGGTCCGCAGCGGCAACAGTAACGAAAAACAGGGCTGTAAGTACCCGGTCAGGGGGTGGAGGGTCAGACCCGAGCCCTCCCGCGGCCCTGGCCCCTCCCGCGCAGTGGCGGGCGCCGGGTCTGGGTGGGGGCGATGTCCAGCGCTGTCATCGGCTCTTGGGTGCACTTTGGGGGGATGGGGCGGCTCTGAGGTGGGAGCCTGGCGAGGAGCGGGATGCGAGGGTTGTTTATCCAACCAGTAGGTCGCTGAACCCAGGCTGCTTTGCAGAGGGAGGGGATCGGCCGTGGGGTCAGTCGGCTTTGTGTGCCCCTCTCTGTTTCCCTTTTCCAGACCCCACCCGGGCCCCCTTCCTAACCCGAGTCTCCCCGGCCGGGTGGGAGAAGCCAGCGAGCCCGGGGCGCGTTTGAAAGGAAGGGAGGGGGCGAGGGAGAGAAACCCACAACAACTAGTCATCGGCGAGTGATGGGTGTGGAGAAAGATCCAGAGAGAAGGGGTGCCGGGAGGCGGGCGGCCCGGGCTCCCAACCGGGCCAGACAAAAGCTGCGCGAGCGGCGCCGAGCAGAGCGGCCGGCTTGATGGGATGCACAAGGTCCCCTTGGTCCCCGGGGCCTTCGAAGAGCTTCTTTCTGAAGCTGGGAAAGCGAACAAGTGCTGAGTTAAGCCTGTGCAGACTTCTCAACTTGCCTTTGTTGTTCTTTGGTATTGGCAGAGACGCTCTGACGAAGATGAGTGTGTGATCTTGCACGTTAGCCTGGCTAGATACAATGGAGCTAATCGAATTTTGCTTTCTATTTTCCGAGCTGCTGGGATGAGTGTGGGGCTTTCCAGAGTTTAAATTATTACATAATATTTTTAAAATAGTTGTTTCTAAAATTAAAAAAAAAATTAATGTGGAATCTGAAAGCACGCTGTGATGAGTTTGCAGCTGAGTTTGCAGCTGGGTGAGTTTCTGTGTAGTGGGGTGCTTTCGTTAAATACTGACCATTCGTAGAAACTGTGAGCTCTTTAAACATGATACTTTAATTTGTAGATGTGGCAATGAGAGCTTCAGATTCTCTAGTCCTTTGGAAGACAGTGATGCAGAAGAATCAGAAGCGAGAAATAGTTTCATGCCGTCACGTACCTTGGACCCTATTTGGGTGGCACAGAACGTTTTCAATTCTGGCATTAGAAATTGTTTTTATTGCTATGATCATTTACGACGTTAACTGATGTCTCGATATGAGGGGTCCTGGACTTTGCCTCTGTTTGCTCATCAAGGGAGTGGGAGAATAGCAACATTGATGTAGAGACCATATAGATAAAAGGTAGCACAATGCCTCAGAGTACTGAATATTATTTATTTTTTACCTTTGTTAAGAAAGATTTAAATTTTGATGATTTGGTTATCTTGTTAAATTGTGTAATACACCTTTTTAGCAGTTGTTACTCAAATCTCAGTTTCTATAATTCATTGTTTATTATGGGCTAGATGGTATTCATTGTTTATTATGGGCTAGATTGTAACACCATTTTAGACTTCTAAAGTTTTAGTTTTTATGAAGGAGTTTTCAGCCATAGCATTTAATTCTCCCAAGTAAGGTTAACCAAAGTCAGAACTCCTTAGAAAAGACTTTGTTGGTGGTGGAGGTATCAAATATTGTATCTCTGTGTTATAATTGAATTGGCAAATACAGAAGAGGCTTTTGCTAAGTTTGCACCATAAAGTTGTGTTAGAACGGAAAACCCAGATCTCCTAGTATGTCAAGCTTTTGAATTAACCTACCGATTAAACTTTATTTATGTAAAAGAGGTAAGCATTTTTTTTTTTTTAATTGATAGCAAGTGAAACTCTCAAGCCTGGTGTATTATGCTTCAGTAACTAGTGGGATAGATCTCTTTAAGTGTAGTTCAGATGATGGGAACTTGCTTTTTATAGAGCAAGATTTCAGACGCTTAAAATAGTTTGACAGGGATGTTGAGAAATGATTGGCCAGAAGAACATTAAGTTTGTCATTTAAGTGTGTTATATTTTGTTTACTGGTTTTATTTATTATTTATTTTTATTTTTGAAACAGAGTTTTGCTCTTGTCGCTCGGGCTGAAGTGCAATGGTGCAATCTCAGCTCACTGCAACCTCCATCTCCCGGGTTCAAGCGATTCTCCTTCCTCAGCCTCCTGAGTAGCTGGGATTACAGGCACCCACAACCATGCCCAGCTAATTTTTGTGTTTTTAGTAGAGACAGGTTTCACCATGTTGGCCAGGCTGGTCTTGAACTACTGACCTCCGGTGATCTGCCTGCCTTGGCCTCCCAAAGTGTTGGGATTACAGGCGTGAGCAGTCATGTTGGGCCCATGTTTACTGGTTTTAGATTGAGATTTTTTGCTTCAGTCTTGTTTATTTTCTTAAGTAGCTTAGTGTCATGATTTATAAGTTGAGTGAGATGGCTTCTTGGGCCTGAGACTTAAATTTACTGTTTAAGACCCGTCTATTCTTTTTTTTTTTTTTTTTTGAGACGGAGTCTCGCTGTGTCGCCCAGGCTGGAGTGCAGTGGCCGGATCTCCGCTCACTGCAAGCTCTGCCTCCCGGGTTCACGCCATTCTCCTGCCTCAACCTCCTGAGTAGCTGGGACTACAGGCGCCTGCCACCACGCCCGGCTAGTTTTTTGTATTTTTTTAGTAGAGAGGGGGTTTCACTGTGTTAGCCAGGATGGTCTTGATCTCCTGACCTCGTGATCCGCCCGTCTCGGCCTCCCAAAGTGCTGGGATTACAGGCTTGAGCCACCGCGCCCGGCCGAGAGACCCGTCTATTCTTAATAATCTTCTACTTAATAATTTTTAGATTATAATTTTTTTTTATTTTGTAGTGCTATTGGTAAATAGAAACATTTAAGTGATTACAAATATTAGGTTCAACTGAGTTACTGAAACTGTCAGTTTTGGTAACTACATCTAGTTGTCAAATAGTGGAAACAGTAGACAGAAGTAAAACTTAAATGTTTAAAAACAGAACATTTAAAATATCTCCTAGAAAACAAGAAAAGAGGCTGGGTGCAGTGGCTTACATCTGTAATGCTAGCATTTTGGGAGGCCAAGGCAGGCGGGTCGCATGGAGTTTGAGACCAACCTGGGCAACATGGTGAAACCCTGTCTGTCTGCAAAAAATACAAAAATTAGCTGGGGATGGTGGTGTGCACCTGTAGTCCCAGCTACTCGGAGGGAGGGGGGAATGAGGTGGGAGGATCGCCTGAGTCTGGGAGGCTGAGGCTACAGTGAGCTGAAATCATGCCACTGCACTATAACCTGGATGACAGAGTGAGACCCTGTCTAAAAACAAAAACAAAACAAGGGAAGGATCTGTTAGTCTTAAAAACAAAAACTAAGCGAAGTAGAAATCATTGATGATATAGTTTTTGGTTTGTAAGATGTAATTTTAAAAAATGAACTAACTGTTTTAGCCATTGCCAGCGGGGCATCATCGACAAAGTATGGGTATATGTGTTTGACTAAATGACCTCTAAATTGCCGGCATTTACTGCTTGTTTCTCGCTTGTTCTTCACCTCCCCAGGACTTTTCTGCCCCCTTTATGCCCAGACCATTACTGCCACACAGTGATTTTCCTCCCCACATTCTTATGACAGCCCTCCTCCCACCTCCCCTCATGGATCCTAAAGTTCTAGCTCAGGTGTGCTCAAATGGTGACATTTCTTCCGTAATACCTTTGTTAACTTCTGTCTTGTTTCCTGCCTGGAAGTTTCCTCACTCTTTGCTGCTTCCTGTTGTATATATCACCTTCCTGCTTGCTTAGATTCACTCTTGTGCATTTACTCTTCTCTAGATCTTTGAGGGCACAGGGAGTTTGTAGAACACAATGTGGTGTCCTCTGTTGCTTACTAAGTGACTAAGTGACTTGTATAACTAATGGAAACTGTAGAATGTATGAAAGAGTAAACAAATGTATCCTAATGTAGACTAATAAAATTTGAGCTTTGGAGGAGTTGTTAGAGGCCCAGTAGTCCAACATCTTTCCTTTTGTCTGCTACATTCTGATCATCAGTGTCAAACTGCAGGCATCTGTCCCTGGACAGGTCTTGGTTGCCAGAAATGTTTTTAGACTACTCCAGTCTGCTCCCTCCCTTTCACCTATTGACCTTAGTTATACTTCCTGAAGCAACCTGAATTAAGTCTGTTTCTTCTTCACATAATAGCCCTTCATATTTCCCATGACAGATATGACACTTCTAGACTTATTGATTGTTTATTAAACTCTCTCTAGAATTGAGCACCAGGTACAGTTGAAGAGACATCCATGGCCCCTGCACTTCAGGGGCTTGCAGTCTAGTTACGGAGACAACTATAACATGAATCGATGGCTGGTTATAATGCAAGTATGCAAACAGCCCTAAATCGTTAGTTCTTTCCTGGTTTGTTATGGCTCACCATGCTTTCTTTAGGCAACTCTGTTTTTTGTTTTGTTTTGTTTTTTTTTGAGACGGTTTTGCTCTGTTGCTCAAGCTGGAGTGCAGTGGCATGGTCACGGCTCACTGCAGCCTTGACCTTCTGAACTTAATCAATCTGCCTGCTTCAGCCTCTTGAGTAGCTGGGGCTACAGGTATGCACCACCACACCTGGCTAATTTTCTAAATTTTGTTTTAGAAATGTTTTGTAGAGATAGGGTCTCACCGTGTTGCCCATGCTGGTCTCGAACTCCTGGGCTCAAGTGATCCTCCTGCCTTGGCCTACCAGAGTGCTAGGAAGCCCGGCCCAACTGTTTTTTTTTCCCCCTGAGATGGAGTCTTGCTCTGTTGCCCAGGCTGGAGTGCTGTGGCGTGATCTCGGCTCACTGCAGCCTCCATCTCCCAGGTTCAAGCAGTTCTGCCTCAGCCTCCTGAGTAGCTTGGGACTACAGGCGTGTGCCACCATGCCTGGCTAATTTTTGTTGTATTTCTAGTAGATATGGGGTTTTACTGTGTTGAGCCAGGCTGATCTCAAACTCCTGACCTCAGGTGATCTCTGCCCGCCTCAGCCTCCCAGAGTGCTGGGATTACAGGAGTGA